AGGGCTTTTGGAATCTCTGGGTCCACCTCTTCATCGAGTTCCTCGAGTTCAGACATAAGCAGTGGCGGGCCTGAGCTCCTCACAAAGGAGCGTGTCGAAGCCCAGGCTGCTGCAGCGGCTGCGGCTGCACCAAAGGCGAGCGCCAAGACAGTTGGAAGCTTCGTGGGGGAGCAGTCCCCCAAGAAAGGGAAGAAAGCTGGATCCCATGGGTCAGCCGAGTCCGGCCATGGGTCGCACAAGGCGGACGAAGAGAAAGCCCAGAGGATCATGCTCCAGCAGCTTGGCCAGCTGGAGGTTGGACATATGAAGCTGAAGGCAATCTTCCCCGAGGTTGTGCTTGGCCACTTGTACATGAAGAAGTACGGCCTGACTCGAGAGCAACGCACCACAGTGGTGCGGGCGACCGGGGGGAGCTCCCGGTTCCGTGATGTCGGGCGCATCATGCGGGCCAGCGACTTTGAGGATCGCCGCCCAGAGAGCCAGCGTGGACAAGGTTCCCGAGACTTCCGTCGGGAAGCTGTGCTGGAAGCTGGAGAAGAGAGCCAGTCCATGTCCGAACCTTCCTTGGTGCCCTCCGACGAGGAGGTCTACGAGACGGACCTCGAGACGGAGGATGACGAGACGGCTGCCGAGCTGCAGGAGATCTTCGAGGCCCAGAAGAAGGCGAAGGCAAACGTGAAGAAGTTCTACCGCGACTACCGGACAAGCCGCAAGAAAGTCAAGGAGATCAAGAAAAGCCGCCAGGGATATATGCCAGTGGTTGCTGTCCTTCCTGATGATCCTGGGCCATCTCGTGCCCAAGCAGCAGTCCCGACTTTCAAGTATGACCGCAAGGGCGGCAAGGAAGATGGTCGGCGAAAACCGAACCGGCCAAAGAAGGAAGAGGTAAACATCCTGAGCAGTCAGGCGCTTACCGAGTTTGCCTACATGCTCTCCGAGGCCCCCGACGACCTCGAGATCTACCTGGCTTCCGTCCCCTGCGGCAGTGCAGTCATTGACACGGGCTGCACCTCCTCCTTGGCGGGCAAGATAACGGCCAGCAAGCTTGAGAAACTTCTCGCTGAACGTGGTGCGCAAGGGCCCGAGTCGTTGGAGCTTCCGCCCGTGCAGCTCAAAGGCTTCAACGGCGCCAAGACCACGTCAAAAGAAGGACTACGCTGGACCGTCAAGCTTGGCAACCTGGGGGACCATCGCGACATATGTGGTCCCTGGCAAGACTCCCTTTCTCCTGTCCCGGAAGGTTCTGGAGGGCATGAAGGCTACGCTGGACTTAGGCTCTGTCACGATGTCCAGTGAGAAGCACGGCATCCAGAACATGAAGCTTGGACAGGCGGCCAACGGCACCTCCTTATGCCCCTGCTGCCCGATGACAACGAGGGCTGCTCCCTTGCCGAGACAGGTCGCGACCCCCAAGAGTATAAGGGAAGAGAGAGTAGGGTTTCCCCCAAATCGGGTAATTATAGACCGGGTGCCCCTAGTGCTAAGAGACCTGCGTTTCAGTCCATTCTCAGAAATACCACGCATTGTCAGGTGGATGTTGTTGTAAATCAAGAGGCGCTTCAGACCCTGTTTGGTTGTGAGGTGCATTTTGCGTTGTGTGCATACAGACCCAAGTTTGAGCGCATACCTTCTGAAGCCCACTGCCAAAACTTGCACAGGGCCGTGGCCACACAAGTAGGTAGCAGTGAACCAGATGTGTCAGCCTGGGAGGAGAGACCTGTGGGCAAGCACCGGTCCACCTTTGACCATGCTGGCGCCTGTATCTTTGCCTTCCGCAGGCCTCCGGCCAGCGCATGTGCCAGAAAGCAGCAGCCAAAGCCAGACAGCGTAGAGGAAAGCCTTAAGTCCCCCAATAGTCCTGCAGACCTTAAGGATAGGACCCTGAATAATCTTGCCACCCCACAAGACGAAACCCTTCAAACAACAAAAGCCCAACACTGCCCCTCAGGAGATGAGCTGAGTGAAGCTTCCGAGTCCGAGCTGGATTGGGGAGCCGCTAGTCCTAGAGGGGTTGCAGGTTCGGATTTAGTCGCTTTTTGAGGAGTGTAATTGGGTTGATTGAGATGCCAGGCAGGCGACCACTAGCAGCAAGGGCCGCATCGCCCATCAGGTTTCAGAAGTCAGTCGTGCGCCTTTCCAGCTTGCACTTGCAGCCTTGCGTGAAGAACCCGACCGGGTCCGGAGAGAGTTTAAGGAGTGGTTGGGACCCCAGTATAGTGCCCTCAAGAATGGTAAGGTTGACTTTGTTGAGGTTTTTACTGGTAAGGCCCCTCTCTCAAGGACCATTGACCAGTCTCGTCCAGAGACTTGCATGAGGATCGGCACACAGTGGGGTCAAGACCTCCGTAAGGCACGAGACAAGCGACTGCTGGTTTTGTTGATTGGATATTGCAAGCCTAGAAACGTTTGGGTATCATGGCCATGCACCTGTTGGTCAGGGTGGTCTAGGGTCAACATGCACAAGGGCGCAGATCTCAAGCAGCAGGTGTTGTCCCAACGTGCAGCCGACATGCCGTTCCTGCGTCTTTTTGAAAAGCTTTGGCGCCTACAGGGAGCCTTGGGAGGTTTCATACATGGCGAGAATCCCGTGGGGTCAGAGGCGTGGAAGCACATTCTTGTAGGCCCTCCCTATGAAGCTAACTTCCATCAATGTGCCTTAGGGTTGAAGCATCCCCTTTCTAAGCTGCCCATTATGAAGCCCATGTCCAAGGAGTGGAATTCCTGGCTGGAGAATAAGGTAACTACCATCGTTAAGGCCAAGGGGGTTGATAGGAATAGGATCATTGGTAGTAGATGGGTCCTCACCTGGAAACAAAGCTCCGATCCCGATGATCCCAGACTCACCCCGAAAGCGAGATTAGTGTTGGTTGGTTACCAAGACCCTGATTTGGGGCGTATAGCCACGGATTCTCCCACTCTTCGGAAAGAGTCGAAGCACATCATTCTGAGCCTGTGCGCGGGTAACCGCTGGAAGCTCTGGGGAGCAGACATTAAGACGGCCTTCCTCTCAGGTGACGCATCTTGCCGTAACATCCACTTTCGACCGCCGCCCGAGATCCGGGAACAAATGGGTCTTAGTACGGAAGACCTTCTTCGTTTAGAGAAAGCAGCGTACGGGCTCGCTGAAGCCCCCAGGGCATGGTTTCTCCGTCTGACTCGAGAACTCAAAGCAGTTGGCCTGCAAGTGAGTGAACTGGATCCTTGCACCTTCTTCCTAAGGGGCAAGGGTGGCGAGCTGTTAGGCATCTATGGAGTTCATGTAGATGACCTCCTCGGAGGCGGGGGCCCTGAAATGGACAAATGCCTTGCAAGGTTGCACGAACGGTTGCCATTTGGTGATTTCCGCATGCGAACGGTGAAGTATACTGGTGCAGAGATTCGCCAGAATCCTGATTTCAGTATCGAACTTAGCCAAGAGGGGTACGTGGATAAAATGGAGTTTGTCAAGGTACCTGGCAAGGGTTCGGATCCAGTAGAACCCAGAATCATGCGTGCATGCTGTGGCCAGCTCTCCTGGGTAGCGAGTCACAGTCGTCCCGACCAGGCATTTCTGGCCTCGTATCTGCAAGGTGTACAAGACAAGGCAAAATGCCAGCATCTCCTCATGTATAACAAGGCCCTTAGGGAGATGAAGACCCGAAAGGTTTCCCTAAAGTTCCCCAGTATCCCTACAAAGGACTGGCGCCTCCTTGTTGTCACCGATGCAGGTTGGGGAGTCCGCGAAAGCGGAGAGTCTCAGGGTGGCTTGGTGCTTTGTATGTGTGAGAGTAGGGTCTTGGAACAACAGGAAGGAGCATGCTGGGTCATAGAATGGGCCTCTAAGAAGCTCCGTAGAGTAGTCAGGAGTTCGACTGCCGCCGAGACCCTTGCCGCACAGAACGGCTTAGATGCAGTGGAATTTGCGCAGGCCTTTTTGCAGGAGTGTCTGTATGGGATGTCCCCCAAAGAGTTTAGGCAATGGACCCCCGAACTTCCGTCAGGGCTGGTTATAGACTCTAAATCCCTGTATGACGCCCTCACGCGGTCAGCTTGTTCCTCTGCCTTGGCTGTGGAGAAGCGCCTGGCAATTGACTACTCGATTGCCCGATCGTGCCTAGCCGAACAGCACATCAGGCCTCTGTGGACAAACAATCTGCAGATGATTGCAGACTCTCTCACCAAACTCAAGGGTTCCAAGGAAGTGCTCTTTAAGGTGTTGGACAGCTGCCGTTACCATGTGCGCCCAAGTAAGCTGTCTGGAAAGCGTGAAAAGGCCCAGGAGGCCTCTGGAACACCTTGAGGGTCCCTGCTCAAGTGGGAATGCACCTGGTTGCATTCGTGGGTATTAGTGCACACTTCAGGGGTATGGGGTGTGTCTCATTTTTAGTGGGTTTGTGGGAGTGTTTTATGTTCTTGGTTGTTTGGTTCCTTGTATAGTTTCAGCACAGTCGCCTCCATGCGGAGCCGTGTCAGCTAACGTGTTTGCATAGTGCCTGCCTTCCGCTTGCCTGTGCTCAGCATGTCTGCCAAGCGTGCCGACATCCGCGACCTTCCGGAGTACTACCTTCCCGGAATGCGCCGCTCCCAGCCTCTCGATCGCAGCAACTTGTACACGATCTCCGTGCTCCTTGCCCGTGGCATCTCCCACGGCCAGATGGACATGATCTTGGCCAAGGTCTTTGACACCCAGGACGATGAGGACAAGGAGTCCGTCAAGCGTGCCACTGCTCAGTGGTCTCGTGCGGTGTCGAAGGTCCCCTTGCGCAAGTACCTCCTTGAGGAGCCTGGCACCTCTGCTGCTAGTGACCCGACCTCCCCAGGAGGTATGACGGATGCGTCTAAGAGACAGTCGTTGCATACAAGCGCTGGCAAAAACATGTGGCCCGTCACCTTCAACACCCACATAGAAAAACCTGTTCGCGTGTCATAGCGAGTTCAAGGTTGATGCATATAAGGACACCTGCACAGGATGTTGGCCCGAAACCAACCAAACCCTAAACCCTAAACCCGGAACCCTAAGCAGTGTGAAGGCCTGTCTCAACCCTTCCTTCTAACTATAACCCCCCGGCCTAAATTTGAGGTGCCGGAATATGTAATTCAACCCCAGCACGGAACCAGAATTTTGAGAATAGCCTTTGAGCTTAACCCTAAACCCTAAACCCTATACCCCTAAACCCTAAACGCTAGACCCCTAAACCCTATACCCTTAAACCCTATACCCTAAACCCTAAACCCTTAAATCCTAAACCCCTACACCCGAACCCCTAAACCCTATACCCTTATACCCTCAATCCTAAACCCCTAAACCCTAAACCCTTAGACCCTTAGACCCTAACTCAAACCCTAAACCCTAAACCCTATACCCTTAAACCCTAAACCCTAAACGCTATACCCTTAAACCCCAAACCCTAAACCCTATACCCCTAAACCCTAAACCCTTAAACACTAACTTAAACCCTAAACCCTAAAGCCCTAAAACGCTCTGCTGGCCTGCAAGTTCCTTGGGGATGTAGCGTCCCAGATGACCACTGTTCTGACAAGCAGATCAAGATTCTAAGGTTAGAAGTATGGGCCCCTAATATGGGCCCTTAGGCCTTTGTAGGGATCCTTACGGGTACATATAGGGTATATTGTAGGTATACAAGGATCCCAGGCTTTAGGGCCCATACTAAGGGCCCATGGTTTCAACCTTAGAAAGATCTTTTTCTTACGTGGCACTTGGGACCCCTACTAAGGGTTAGACCCCTTACTAAGGTTTAGGGTTTAGGGTTTTAGGCTTTAGGGTTTAAGGCCTACCTGAACCCCAACAGTAGGTAAAATAATCGTCCAAAACACTTCAAAATAGCCCAAAATGCAATTATTCTACATACTTTGGGGGTTTAGGTAAGGGTTAAGCCTTAGGCACCTAGAATAGAAGTATGAGGGAATCTCAGAGAGCTAGGGGTCGAGGATCCTCAAGGTTAGTACGGTCTCTGGGCCCAAAGGCCTCAAATGTAAGTCCTTAGAGCCTTAGGCTTTCGAGCTGTGACAGCATGGCTATAGTTGTAGGGTAGCTTCCACCATGAAAGTCATCCAAAAGCAGACCGACAACGTGGCGGTTCCTCGACAATCTCCGAAGCGTCCAGAAAATGGGTTCCTGCTATGGAACTTATAATACTAAGTTACCATATTCGCCGAGGCATCCAGCCTCAGGGCGTTCAGATCCTTAAAAACCCTCTACTCCCCTTTGCAGAGACGCCTCAGCCTGGCCACCCCCC